CCCACCCCCACTCCGGTGGCCTCACCTCTGACCCCTGTTCCCTGCCTTCCTGCCCTCCCTGTACCGTGAGTCACTGATCGATTCCACGCCTCCAAACCCCACCTTGCCCAGGGCAATCCTGGTCCTTCAGAGTCTAGGGTCGAGAACCACCCCCCTGCCGTCAGATGGGTGTCTACCAGCCACTTTTTTACGGGTACTAACAACACCCATTTATTCACCCACAACTACCAGGGTAGCTATTCAGGGACTCCAGTGCTTACTGGGCTGAGAAGGGTGGAAACAGATCCGTGCCCTAATTGGAACTGAGCTGCAGTCTCTAGGTGAGCAAGTGCCTTCTGCCCAGTTTCCTTTGGCTTGGCAAAGGCCACACTTTTCTAGTTTTCTTCCATAATAGGGCCTTGCAGGGCTCCGGGGAGCAACAGAAGAATACCTGGTCAGTACTTGTGAAGACAGAGGAGTGAAGACAGGAAGCTCCCCATTTAAACTTAGAAACTTGGCTCTTCCCACTCTGCTTTGCTGGAGAGTGGGGGGCCAATCTAGGAAGCAGAGATCCGGAATGGCCCGTCTTTCAAGATGGCCATGTGTTGTGGTGGGTGTATCTGGGCTAGTTTTGGGCAGTCTGACCTCTCTGATTATATTCTCTAATCTTTGGGCTGCAAAGAAGCTTAGAGTCTAGTATTTCTTAGTATTTCTCAACCTAGTTAAGCCACTGAGTATTTCAGTTTGGAATAGCCACGCTGTGGTAAAATGGAGTCCTTTTAGGTCAGTTATAACCCCTAGTGTGGGGCCAGCATACTGCTTTCTAGTTGGCCTTTGCTGGAAGGCCACTTCTACCTTCTCTGACAGGGAGAGAGCCTCTTATTTAGTAGGGCACTCCCTAAAAGCACCTCTCATATGTCTGGAGATATCAAAAAAACCTTTCATTTTTCCTCAGCTCTCAGGGCCCGAGTGGAGCAGGAGGATGCTTTCCCAGCCCCACCATGGAGCTGCGCTGTGGGGGACTGCTGTTCAGCTCTCGATTTGACTCAGGAAACCTAGCCCATGTGGAGAAAGTGGAATCTGTGTGTAGTGATGGGGAAGGAGTAGCAGGGGGCGCATTAGCCCCCACCAGCGGCACTGCCTCTGCCCCTGACTATGAGTTCAACGTGTGGACCCGACCAGACTGTGCTGAAACAGAATTTGAGAATGGGAACAGGTAAGAGGAAAGTAATGGAGGGCAGAAGAAGGACAAGAGAAGGGATATCCCTGTCCCCAAACCCATGCTCAGTTTGCCCTTTCGCTTACAGTCCATGCCCACACACTACTACTTCTCTCCCTGGCCCCCTTTCTCCCTCTCCTGCTACTCTCCCACATATCATACCCTGTCTACCCCTCTCGTATATGGTGACCTGTCTTTCCTACTCTGGCCTTCAGGTCATGGTTTTACTTCAGTGTCCGGGGAGGATCTCCTGGGAAACTCATCAAGATCAATATTATGAACATGAACAAGCAAAGCAAGCTGTATTCCCAGGGCATGGCCCCCTTTGTGCGTACACTGCCCACCCGGCCACGCTGGGAACGCATTCGAGACCGGCCCACCTTTGAGGTAAGTTATCCATGGGGAGGAAAGAAAGACTTGGGTGCTAAAAGTAGAGGAGGGAAAGGAAAGAGGAGTTACCCTCAATACTGAGCACTAGGCAGGCAGGACACCGGGTTTTGGTACCAGCTTTCCGGTGCTAGCAGGAGTCCAAGATAAGCCCCTGCCTCAGGAAGCCTCAAAGGAGCTGGTTGTCATGGACAGTTTCAGAGGGAGGGAAGTTGGTAAATGTGTGAGGGTGTGAGGTCAGTTCCTGGTGACTCCAATAGGATCTTAGTTCTGACACCGATGGCATGTTGCCCCTCCCTCTTCCTCCTCTGCTCCTCAGATGACAGAAACGCAGTTTGTGTTATCCTTTGTTCACCGTTTCGTGGAGGGCCGTGGGGCCACCACCTTCTTCGCCTTCTGCTACCCCTTCTCCTACAGTGACTGCCAGGATTTGCTAAACCAGCTAGACCAGCGCTTTCTGGAGAACCACCCTACCCATAGCAGGTGCCAACCCCATTCTTACTCCTGCCACACAGTCCTGGATCAGACAGCACCTCTGCTACTTCTGGAACTTACCCTAAGAGCCCTGAACCAAAACGTCATCAGTTCTTTCCTCTGTACAGCATGGGACTTTCAGTATCTTTGACAAGTATATTTCCGTGTGACCTTGATACCACCACCTACACTCCACTCACCCGTCTAGTTCAAGCCCTTAATATCCCAGCTCCCATCAGTTATCTGGAATTTAGCCAGCACTGCCATTGCTCAGCACACCTTTTTTTTCTGTCCCAACAGAGGTCAACTCTCTGTCTATGCAGAGTAACCTGTCCTAGGGAGCCATAAATGGGTAAAAAACAAGTTCATCCTGCCCTGTACTGTGCATTCTGGCAATGCAGATCCACCCAAATCCTCAGCCTCCTTTAACACTGAGAGACTGTGAGGCCCCAAAGGTTAGGGTGAAGTACCAGATCCTACAAATGCTAGGCTCGTAACAAGGCCTACCTCTTGCTAGGACTTTAGGGACTTCTATTGGCTTAATGATTTGTATCCCTACAGCCCTCTGGATACCATCTATTACCACCGAGAAATCCTTTGCTATTCTCTGGATGGACTTCGTGTAGATCTGCTAACAATCAGTTCCTGCCATGGGCTTCAAGAAGATCGAGAGCCCCGTCTAGAGCAACTATTTCCTGATATCAGCACCCCCAGACCATTCCGTTTCACAGGCAAGAAGGTGAGTGGGAATAGTGTAAAGGTAGGACCCTGACCTTTCCCCAGTCCAGGGAAGTTCAAAGCCACATCATCTGTAGGCATCTTGGACACAGCCTCAGCCTGTGAGCTGAGGCAAGTGTGACAGCTCCCACTCCACTTGCACACTCAGCCAGCTGGAGATCCAGTGGCTATTTCTGCCTCATCCTCTCCCCACACCCCCACCCTAAGTACTACTCCTAAGTACTACTGTAGTGTAACTGCCCTAATGACTGCTCTTTTCTCCACATCAGATATTCTTCTTAAGCAGTAGGGTACACCCCGGAGAGACTCCATCTAGCTTTGTCTTCAATGGCTTTTTGGACTTCATCCTTCGACCTGATGATCCCCGGGCCCAAACCCTACGTCGCCTCTTTGTTTTTAAGCTGATTCCCATGTTAAACCCTGATGGTGTGGTCCGGGGCCACTACCGGTAAGCAGCCTCCCCAACCTCTCTGGGTTGTTGCGGTCCCCCTCATGCCCCGCAGCTCAGCCTCTCATCTTCCTTCCATATTCCCAGTCCTCTTCACCCTAACAAAGGCAAGCCCATCTAACCATCCAGTGCCTCGGGAAGGAATGGGATCCCATCTACTGGCATTCTTGGGAAGGAACAGAGCTAGAATAACTGCAGGTCTATCTGGGAGTTATCCTTAGGTTTCTGTGAAGGAGTGATAGCAGATCAAGGAGAGGGCCTATTCTCAGTTCTTTCTTTCCTAATGCAACTTCAGCCTCTCATTTTATAAGTTAGTCTCCCATAGTCTCTTTTCATCTACTCTGGTGTCTCCCTTGCTGGTCCAGCTCTCTAGACCCTGCTTCAGTCCTTGTTTCCTTACAGCACAGACTCACGTGGAGTGAATCTAAACCGTCAGTACCTGAAGCCTGATGCAATCCTGCACCCGGCCATCTACGGGGCTAAAGCTGTGCTCCTCTACCACCATGTGCACTCCCGTCTGAACTCCCAGAGTCCCTCTACGCAACAGCACAGTCCTCATCTCCGTCCTGATGCCCCCCTTTCTGACCTTGAGAAAACCAACAATCTCCAAAATGAAGCTCACCTTGGGCACTCATCTGATGAGGATAATCCTGAGGGCTGGCCACAGACTGAGCCAGCAGAAAAGAAGGCCAGCAGTGTGTGGATTATGCCCGAACAGTCCACTGAGGTTGAACAGCCAGCCCCTGACACCATCCCCCCCAAAGAGAGTGGTGTTGCTTACTATGTGGACCTGCACGGACATGCTTCCAAAAGGGGCTGCTTCATGTATGGAAACAGCTTTAGTGATGAGAGCACCCAGGTAGGAATCCACAGAATGTCATATGAATGTGGGAAGTGTTTCAGGTTAGGACAAAAGGTTGGGCCATGAACAGAGGGAAGGTGACCTTCTGTCAGGTCAGGAAGGTCCATGGCTGCAAAAGGTGGACTACTTCTGAACAAGCTTTAAAGGGCCTAGAAGGGATGGCACTGGGACCTGTTATATCATGACCCTGAAAGAGTGTCAAACCGTTGGCATTGTAGTTTTTTCTAGAGTTTGGGAAACTGAGGGGAAAGGAAAATTTTGCATTATTGGAGAGAAGAAGCTAAGAGCTTAAAAAGAAGAATTGCACCTTTCCAACAGCTGGACGTAATGTCAAACATTCTCAAATTCAAGAAACGCGGTCTATTGCTGATGGTTGTGAGGGTATCTAAGTCACATGGAGCCATGCTTGCCCTCTCCTCCTTGCCCTCATGCCTTCTTTCTTTTCTGAGTTGCCTATTTCCTCCCTCAAACAGGTGGAAAATATGCTGTATCCAAAGCTCATCTCCTTGAACTCAGCACACTTCGACTTCCAGGGCTGCAATTTCTCAGAGAAGAACATGTATGCCCGAGACCGCAGAGATGGCCAGTCTAAGGAGGGAAGCGGCCGGGTTGCAATCTACAAAGCCTCAGGGATAATCCACAGGTTGGGTGGAAACTGGAATATGGTTGATGAAATAGCTTCCCTAATGAAAGCAATATCCAGGCTAGGGGGTTTGAGGGGCAGGGGATGGCCCAAGTCTTCTGGAAAGGCAAGCTCCCCATTAGCATTATTGGCTTTAGTCTGGGACTCTACCTTTTTGGGACTTCTTGTGCATGTGCTGTAGTGCCGAGGTCAGGCTGGTGGCTAGGAATTAGGACTTTCTATTTGTATCCATTTTTTTCCCCCAAGCGATTACGTTCTTAGACCACCTAGGCTGTCCCCATAGTTCTGTCCTGATTCTCTCCAGGCAGGACACTGATAAAAGTCTCTGTGTCTTAGCTACACACTTGAATGCAACTACAACACTGGACGCTCAGTAAACAGCATCCCTGCCGCCTGCCATGACAACGGGCGTGCCAGCCCCCCTCCCCCGCCGGCTTTCCCCTCCAGATACACTGTGGAATTGTTTGAGCAGGTATGAATACATGGGATAAGTGGGGCAAGGGAGAACCCCAAAGTCTGGAAAGGCCTTCACTCCTGCTGCCTGACTCTAAGGGCCTCTGATGGGAGGCTCACTACTATTGCCATCTCACCACTGTGGTTATTTTCCTCAGTTAATAGGAGCAGGCCTCTGACTAAAATAGTGGTGAGAGGATAAGTGGGCACTATTTCTGACCCCCCACCACAGAGAACCCCCCACACACATCTGAGTCAGATCCTTTGCCTCTGAGCTCATCTTCCTTCTATTGGGTTAGTTCAGTCCTGGACTGAAAGCACCCCATCTGCAGTGGTCTTGATGATCCCTGGTGTCCCAGGACACACAAGAGTAGTAGAAAGAGCTGTGGGTTATAGAAGAGACTCAAACACCTTCTGCTGGGAGAGCTCCTTCCTGGTGCCAGCCTGAAAGCACACCTGCCTCAGCTCATAATGGATGAGGGCCCCCAAATGAACAATGGTTTAGGGAGCAGCTGTAAATCCAGTTGCGATAAACAGCCTGGGCACAAAAGTTAGAGTACTCATTGAACACATTTGAGGTCTGGCCTCTCCTCCCCTTCCACTGTGCTGTGCACCCCACCCCAACACAGCAGCCTTGGTTGGAAGACCAAGACACTGAGCCAAACTGGACTCCCCCACAGGTGGGACGAGCTATGGCCATTGCAGCTCTGGACATGGCAGAATGCAATCCATGGCCCCGAATCGTGCTGTCAGAGCACAGCAGCCTCACGAACCTCCGGGCCTGGATGCTAAAACATGTGCGTAGCATTCGAGGCCCGAGCAGCACTCTGAACATGGGTGTCAACAAGAAGAGAGGCTCTCGAACTCCACCCAAAACTAACAAGTAAGACCAGCAGGGTGGAAGGGAGAAGGTACTAGAGTGGAACAGGGCTCTAGGGCAAGGAATTCCCAGAGATTTGTGTTCCTTTTCCACTTCCGAAAGGACCACATGGTAAATATTTCAGGGTAAATTAAAATTAGTAAGATCAGCTCATTTTTAAAAAATGGATCCCCTTCCCTTTTACCTGGCACTACATGCTTTCTAGGTATCTGGAAATCAGGCCAGAGGACTCCCTGCTCCAGAGCCCTGCACAAAATCAAATATAATTGGGGTGGGGCCAGGACTCAGCTTCCAGTGGTTGTGAATAACTGACTGAGAGGTCCAAAGGCCAGCACCAAGGCAACAAGGGAGGAATTTACTGGGAGTTTAAGCTGCCCAGGGGTGGCCCTTCCAGGTGTTGGTATATTTTCTGCAGGAGCATGTGTATGTGAACAAGTGTTTGTAGGCATTCGGAGATCAGCTGGTATGCCCCAGGTTAGATACCTCAGACAGCAACAAGAATTCCTCCCTTCTCCCTTGGAAAGAGTCCCTATCTATGCCTTTTCACTGCAGAAGTGAAGCTTTACTGACCATGGGGAAAGACTAGGGACACAACCTCCTGGCCCATGGTTAACTGGCATCTGCTTCTTTGCAGTGGATTGCCTGTTTCCTGCTCTGAAAATACCTTGAGTCGAGCGCGAAGTTTTAGCACTGGCACAAGTGCTGGCGGTAGCAGCAGCAGCCAACAAAACTCTCCACAGATGAAGAACTCCCCCAGCTTTCCTTTTCATGGCAGTCGGTGTGCAGGGCTGCCAGGCCTGGGCTCTAGCACCCAAAAGGTCAGCCACCGGGTGCTGGGCCCCATGAGAGGTAAGCTAGTCTGGGAGCCCCTGCAGCAGGTGTTCAGTTGTTTGGGGCATTGTTGGGGGAAATGAGAGCTTGAAGATATATACTTGGACTGGGACCAAGGGGGTGAATCAATAAAATTAGTTTATAGCAGAATTTGCAGCCTCTCCTGCGAACTTGGTGTTCCCTGCGGCCTGAACTCCACAGCGGCATTGTGTGTGGCACAGGTAGGTGTCCTGGGTGTCTGCGCTTCAGCACATGTTGGGAGGCAGGGGAGTTTCTAAGGATGAAACACTAGCTGAGGCAGGGCCACACCGAGACATGGAGCCTCCACTTCAAGGACAGTGCCAGGCTGCCTTGTGGGAGGCGGTATAAGGAGATGCCTCACAGTCCAAGCTGCAGCACTGCAGAGTGTGGAGGATCCTGTCCAAGGTCCTATGAGCTGAAATTGTTCCTGGCTTCAGAGCCTGTTCAGAAAGTGTTATCAAAAGAATTCTAATTTTTCCAAAGAGAAATGTAACTACGACAGATTCTGTTGTAGGCTTACAAAGCAACAGTCTAGCCCCTTCCAGCAGTGGCCACAATTGCTCAACTTTGCATCAGTACCCCTAGTCTGGCCTGATGAGACTCTGCCTGATAAGACGAGATTCTGGGTCAAATGTATACCAGAAACAGATAGGCCTTTAGGGAAAAAAGAGGAAAGGACTCTGGAGCCATTTCTTGGGAGTGGCCTGGGCTGTGGTGGGTAGACTTGCAGTGCCACTTCTGGAAGTGCACCAAGCCACAAATCATATTGCGTGTGGCTTCTGGGCTGCACTAGTCTTGCCAGAGTATGGAAGCTTATAAGCTGGAACTAAAAGCTTTGCTGTTCTAGCCGCAGTCATCCTTGTTAGCACTTCCCTGCTACTCAGCTTGCATCCAGGCTTTTGGTGGAAACCATAAACATGCACTGGGTCACTGCTGTGGAAATCTGATGGCGCTGGTTAGAGTAGCCGGAGGAGACCAGTGGTCCTTCCCAGCTTTGCCAAGTACGGTGTTTGATCCCTGACATGCATCATAGCTACCTCTGCTTATATTCCAAGTCCTATTCTTTGAGATTCTATCTTCATTGAAAAGGGTACTTTTGCACACTGTGTTTGAAGAAGAGTATTAAAGTAATAATAATGCCTTATATTTAAATAACATTAAACAGTAAACAAAACAGTATCACATATATTTCATTTAATCCTCATGAGGTCTCTGTGGGATGGATGGCGTTTCCATTTTTCTGATGAGGAAACTGAGGCTATTTAAGGGTGACTTGTCCAAAATTGCAGAGCTATTTAGTGGCAGAGTTATTCACAGATGTTGTTTCATGCCCCAGTGTACTTGAGTTTCCCATCTTAAATCTGGATAGTTTTTTTCCCCTTCTAATTTCTTTTCCTCTTAACTCATAGTTCCTAGGAAGGAATATCAGGATTATAAATTCCCGTTCCCTTTCTACAGAAGGGAAATAGTAAAAAACCTATTCTAGGTATTCCCTGGAGGATTCTAGGCAGTTTTAACCATCCTCTCTGTCCCCCTCCCAATGAGGAGTGCTGTATTAAGCTCCTTGAGTGAGGGGCATGAATTGTGTTTCTTAGTACAAAGTAATTTCTAGTTAGCCGATTTGAAACTTAATAGGGGACACAGGACAGTAAGCACAACATAAAAGCACACACACATTATAAACATACAAGGGACTTGGGGCGCCACTGTCATAGATAAACACAAGGGTAATTAGCCAAAGAATGTTTAGCTGAGTGGTTTTGAAGCATGGGTGGTGGCATATGGTTTGACAAAACGCTCCAGAGCTGAGAATGGTAGCCAGGACCAGTGTACTAGCTGGCTCAGAGGGCCAAGCTTTACCACAGGAGTCAGGTGAAGAGAGGTGGGAGGAGGAAGAAGTGTCTTGAAAACAAAGATTATGAGTTAACAAGACATATGTGCTTCTGAGAATGATGGGAACAAAAGACGTTAAGAGAGCTGTCTGAACTGTATATATCAGGCAG